TTTTCTCAAACTAATGTTCACCTTAAAAGCTTCAAAGCGTTTAAATATCATGGTCATATTTCTATAGTTTTTCCCATTGACATCATGAGTGCTTCTGGATTCTCCTATCGATAAAAGATGTATTTAATGTGAGTGTGGTTTTATCGGGCGCGGTAGAGGGTACCTTTTAAGTGGTTGTATCTTGAGGGGATCGCTAAGTAGACTCGTCGGATTTCTAACAATTCTATTGTGTTTCACGAGATAAATTAAGAACTTCGTTATATAAGATTGGTTTAAGATTGTGGTCTTTTCCTCAGGGTGTCAAAGGTATTGATTATCACTAATAGAAAACTTAATGCAAATGTATAATCCGACTGCCCGAATAAATACATCCTTGGTCGGATAAATCACTGTCCTTGATAGCCGATGTGTGGCTGCAAACATTCGACCACTGATAACACAACTAAACATATGTATAATCCGACTGCCCGAATAAATCATTCTTGGTCGGATAACGCAGAGTCACTATATTTGATACCTGGTGTTGGTACAAAGGATGCGAACACCGATAACAGAACGAAACATCTGTATAATCCGACTGCCCGGTTAAATCGATGATACTTGATAACGCTCGACCACCAATAGAACATGTAGTACAGATTTATGATACGACCGCCCGTATAAATTGATCTTGGTCGGATACTAAGTAGGAAAAGACAACATGCAAGCACTAATAGAGCAACTGATAGAGAATTATAATTACGACCGCCCGTATAAATTGATCTTGGTCGGATACTAAGTAGGAAAAGATAACATGCAAGCACTAATAGAGCAACTAATAGGGAATTATAATCCGACTGGCCGGACGATAGATTGATCTTGTTCGGATACTAAGTTTCTCACTATACATGATAACGTGAGACCATAATAGAACAACTATTATAGACTCATATAATCCGGCTGCCCGGATAAATTTGTTGAGGTCGAATACTTAAAAGAAAAATCAGACTAGACTCAGACTAGTTGTCGATATAAGGGGGTTTATCCTAAACACTTTTCCTACAATCCCTTTGTTTTATTATTTGTTTTTGTAGAAAAAAACATATGATGCTTATTTTCCCTCTGGGTGTATTTAATTAGTTTTGAAGAAAATCTCTAGGTGCTTAAGAAAACAATTTTAAAAGCTCCTGCACAATGACTTTATCATGACCTTTTTTATCGGATGTTCATATAAAGAGGAGTTTGTTGCATTTCTATAACCCATTTTTACCCATAATTTTTTTCAATCCCTACCTAACCCTATCCATTGACCAATAGTTTCCGCCTTGAGTTGTAAGTAATGAATGTCACAGTTCCCAAAATTCAGGTAACATGGTAACATGATCTCATCAATTCTACAACATTTTTTAGAAGGATTTATTAGTTTTAATAATCCTTTAAAAGGTTGGACATTGTGACCATCATTAGGCATTCATTAGTAGATAATGATGTTTTTAAAAATGTTAATATGCTCATAAATTAATAATCGATAATTTTCTTGAAATATCTTGTTCGGAAACTATAAGCGAAGGTGTTTTCTCCTCGCCTAGTTTAATTTTCAAAGTTCTAATTATTTTTCGTTACTTTCGGTTTATTCATTGACTATTAAACAGACTTGTTTTGCATTAAGAACACTATGTATTACGGTGAAGGATTATAGATACAAATTCAACTGCTCAAAGATGCTGGCAAGTTCTACAAAGAGAATCAAAGATGGCGGCAAGATTTAGTGCCACGTTTTGGCATCGCTCTCACTAAACTGGCCACGTTACAAAAATTGCGCAATACGACGTCAAGAGTCTATTCTTAGTTTTAAGAGACTCAGCAGCAGCCCCAGGATATATGTCGTAACAACGAATCCATCAATGTTCTAGGGCTACGTATTTCTAGAATACTTGTGGAGCTTGACAGCGCGTGTCTTGGGTTTTTAGAGACACGTGCGTGTAATTAAGGTTTTTGGAAGTGAGTCAATTCTGAAAACGTTAAGGTGCAGATTTTGTGAATTCTTAGATCTTAATTTATAAAATTATTATTATAGAACGCGTGCATTGATTGGCTGAAATGTGTTTTCCGCTTGTGATTCAAAACTTTTCTCATGACCTTTCCCAAGAATCCCAAGAGTTTCTAACAGAGAATGGACACGGAAAATGCTATTAATAATTATACAAAGACGAAATAAGAGATAAATGTTATGTGCCCTAGGCGTTGGATTGAAAATGGTGTTTTTTTTTGACTTAACAAGGTGACTATCTTTTTAAACTGCGCAGTGCCAAGTGCCAAGATCACGGAAAAAGATTTAATGTTACCAAACTGATTTGTTTTAGATTTAAAAACATAAATTTTCACCTCACTATGTAGCTAAAGGTAGTCAAGTATTTGTCGCAAATACACTCGAATCAATATATATGTTTAATGGATAGAACCTTGTTTTTTTCCATGCTAAGTTTATCACTCAGCCGATAAAAAATAACAAGGCATAAGTCACTAAATTATCTTCGTTACAAAATTATCCGTTTATCTCGTGTGGAAGTACCTGCGATATTTTTGAAACTAATCTGTTGTGCGAAACAGTCAGCGTCTTCCCACCTTCGAGATTAATCCTAATTTTGTTCTTGCAGTCGGGTTTTCTTTATTGTTTTACTAGTTTTAACTAGTTACTGGAGGCAAACGGTTCTTGGAGATATAGTCGCTGATTCGATGTAAAATAGAAAATAACAGCAAGATAGATAAATCGACAATATAATCTCTCGCACTGCTCTCTGCGCCATCTTGGAAGCTACAATAGCCCTGCCTTTGCATCGAAGAAAACAGCCGGTGACCTTGCTGAGATACATTTCACACCAATCAATAATTATCACTAGTCACTAGTCATTCATATCAAGATCACAAGTCTCGCTTCGATGCAAAGGCGTGGATGCCTTTCATGATGACAAAGGTGAGCCCTCAGCGCTCTCCATTCAAAATTATGAATTATTGCAGACAAYGCTAAGGTTTGATTGGCTAATATTTGAGGCATTTTTACCATAAATACAGGACTCCATACAGATTATAACTTATCCATATATTTTTCTGATACTTCCATTTATTCATCCATCCATCCATCTAGCCATCCATTCAGTTTTCATATTTTGCTATCGTGTAATTCCTGCATTTAGACTTTTCCTTTCTGCCATCTGATCATGTCTTCGTTTGTATCGTTCATGGTCTTAGCGTTCGCGTTTATTTAAGATGATTTTACTCAAACATTTTTCGATGTCCTTTGGTTCTCGAGGGTACTTCAAACTGAATAATCAAAGCTTTCAAGGATGCTTGGCTTAAGGACATATTTTTGTTTGCCGCTAAGGACTTTTTTGTTTATTAACCTATATTTTTCAATTTTGTCAAAAAATAAAGTTTATACAGCAATACTTTAAGACCGTTTCATACACGTTACAGCCAATTAGAGGTTTTTTTTATATGAGAAAAGCTTCGTTGACGATTTTTTTATTGACAAACCTTTGTCTAGTTTATAACTCCATTAACTCCATGATAAAGTTTATACAGCAAGATTCTTTAAGACCGTTTCATACACGTTACAGCCAACTACGAGACCTTTTTTCATATGAGAAAAACTTCATTGACGATTTTGTTACTGATAAACTATTGTCCAGTTTAACTCCATTATAAAGTTTTATAATGAATTCTATAATTATAAAGCCTTCAGCTTCATCAGAATTCATCTTAGGTTTCTGTTTACTCACAAGACTTTATTTTCACCACAGAATTGAGCGTAGGCTTTTATTTACTCTCAAGACTTTGTTGTTCACGAGAAAAAACGCTTTAAGATTTGTTTATGACCGGATTGACCAAGGTCAAAACTGAGCAGCAGCTGCATATAGCGGCGACTCTATTCTCATCAATTGTTATCTAAAAATACATAAACCGATCTTATTAACGTATGACAATATTCGTGTTTTTGTAGGCGCTGTTTGGTGCACAGTAAGTCTCTTTAAAGTGAGCGGCGACTGTCTCTTAAGAACTTCCGAACAATCAACCTTGTCATTTTGCCTACTGATCAGACGTTCTAGAGTATCTCCCCAAAGTACAGCGATCATCAACAATTTACAGTTAATTCAAAACAGTCAATCTGGAAATATATTCCTGATCGAAAGTTCCACTCTGTGAGCCTTGCCAACAAGTGCAGATATTGACGACGATTTCAAGAAGTGATCAAAACTGCAATCAAAGCGGCCAAAGTGCTTTTGAACAGTTGATCAAACGTTCCATCGAGACTTGATCGATTTCAACATTTCGTTGATGGTTCCGAAAAATTGATTGCATATCGTGATAGAAATCTGACAGCGACCGTCTGATTTCAAAGAATCCTCAACTAGTGATTTTCCAAGTTGCTGTGAACGTCATCGAATCTGGTAATCCTGTGAAACTTACAGTTGATCAACTGTTCGACAAGAAAAAAAAAGAATACTTGATCAGGTTAGTATCGCGTGTTGTTTTTGTTTTGTATTGTATTCAGTAAATGCCAGTTATTTAGTTAATGCTATTAAATAACTCATTAGAAAACTAAATGCCATGATTTAACACTACTTTATTTGCGATTAGCGCAAGGAAGATTTCCTGTCATCCTACTGTTTACAAACTGAATAAATATGCCATTTTGTTTTGAAATTATATAAACTCACTACTGGCAGTTAGTTCAATATGATTGTTTTTTGAGATGCTTTCCTTTTGTCGTGAGCTCCCACAGTTTCATTGTCAGTTTTCGAGTGAAAATTGTCATAGCTATCTAAATACTTTGCTCTTTTTTTTTATTTATTTGAACATTTGTCTMTCAAAGACTTTATCTGAATCCATAAAAGTGTAGTTATTTGCTGAGTATGTTGAAAGTTTCAAGCGGATGTTTTACCCAGCTATGTTTTAGTGACAAAATATGAATAAAGACCTGATAGTTACTTTGGTACCAAACTCTTATGTAAACAGAGTGATGGYTTGAGCAGGGGATGTAACAGTAGTATCCCTTCATTCATCGCGCGCTTGATTTTATGACAAAATGACTAGAGCTATGATAAAGTCGTTGTAAAATGACCACTATTGCAGCATTGAATGTAAGTATATTCAATGTATAAAAGCATAACCTTCGATATGCAGATGCATTTTTCTGAAGCACGCATGTGCATGCTATCACGAGCAACTTGGAAAAAAAAAAACGAATCATCTTCCTGTTTATATAATATCAATCATAAATAGGTTCTAGTTCATCTGTCGATCGCACGCAATTCCTGTGATAAGCACTTTTAGTGAGTGATATTTAGTAACAAATATATCAACTTTAAGAGTTTTTCCTTTTTGTTCTGTTTCAATGTTTTTATTATCGGGGCCGCCATACCCTTCTAAGTAMACTGTCTTTTCTAACATGCAAGTTAATCGAAAAGTGACACGTCTACTCATTTCCTTGGCTAAGAACTCCGCATTCTAAGTGCAGTTTAATTCAATTTGTTTAAAAAATAATAAGAAAACAAAGAACAAACACAGACAAATAATATATAACTAAACAAAACTTACTAATTGAATGAAAAATAAGCTGACATTGACYCAGAATGATCCTAAATGTTCGTGTGGGATGTGAGACGGGTTCCGGATCCACCCTTTCTGTGTTCGCTCCCATGCAAACCGGGCAATCAKATCGTTAATAGTTATAATTAAGAAATACAATTACCTCTGTCAATGTCTGATCGTCTTGAAAATTAGGGTAAAATGCCGCTGTCTCCAGCCTACATTTCATTATTTTACTAGAATGGGGACGTCAGCAAACCCACACTATTCACACAGACATGTGGGTTTGCTCGCGGCTTTTTTCAAGTTCCTGATGCAGAGACAGGACGAGAAGACTAGTTTATACTAAGCATATAAAGAGGTTTAATAACATGAAGAAAAGAGTGTAGCCATATGCCTCGAAATATAATACAAGGAAAAGTGGACTTCTTAAGGCATAAAATGGATATGACGTTTCGCTGTTAAGGGCTTCATCAGTGTGAATGAATTACAAAGGTTACAAGATTATAAAGCGTAGTAAAGATGGATTGAACAATCACATTGATTTTATGCCTTAAGAAGTCCACTTTTCCTTGGATTAATAACCTTTTYTTCCATTCTTTKGTCTTCCATGTTTACTAAATATCACAACATAATTTCATTTTTTTGCGGAACAAATTAAGTTTTTAAATGCAGTGCTATAAATATACCATCTTGAGTGCCACATCGTCACAGCTCGATAAAATATCCTATGTTTACATAAACACTGCTTAAGGAGGCCTATATATTTACAGGTGGAACTAGAACTCTCGATATATACACCGAGTTCAAGATAGGTTGYCGTGTTAAAAAAGAGGACCATAGCATAAGTATGGTTCCTGAGGATGATGACAAAGTACTTCATCCAATTGCAGAATTGTCACATTGAAAAAATGATTGTAGAGGCGGAGGTAGCGTAAAAAAAGTTGAAGATGCGTTGTCATATAAAARGTAGATCATAAATTATAGTTGTGATTCTTATGTATAGAAACTAAGGATGTACATGATTAGATACTTAAATAGGTGTTATGATATTCATGTCGATCGTTTGTTCCTTTTCAATGTGCGACAACGTTGCTTTAATGTGATGTACTCAGTTTCAGCCTCTATGATCTGTAATCTATGATCTAACTTGTCAATGTGACAACGTTTCTTCAATTTGATGTATTCAGCATCAGCCTCTATCACTGGAAAAAATCGCGCGCTTTAAAGGTTGTAAAATTTGATGTAAACATGATGTAAGTGTCCAAAATTCTGTAAATTTAATGGAAATCATCCATCAAATTTACAGAATTTTGGACACTTACATCATATTTACATCAAATTTACTACCTTTACAGCGCGCGATTTTTTTCAATGTGACAACGTTTCTTCAATTTGATGTATACAAGATACAGCATTTGTGATCGATAGTTTACTTTACCAATATTACAGCACGTCTTCAGTTTGGTGTTGATGTAAAGCGAATAATAACGATACATATCTGATAAAAAGAGTTCTCCTTACGACTAAATTCACCCGCCGCTCTGTCAATATCCTATATTTACAGTAACAATGATCTCAAAGACACCCATCGCCAATAGCTGCAAGTAAGATTATACATATATATGCAGTTAGTAAGATTTATAATCTGAAAAGAGCTCTCATGCGTCTCCAACCCTTTGTATACGGATCTTTCGCTTATACTCTATGTTATCAGCACTTAGATTTATATTTATATTCTTTATTAAGCCGTATTAGATAAGGCACCATGCCTTGAAGCATTGTAATTATTTTCTGCAGCCTTTGCGTGTGATTTCTGTGACGTTTGGGTTAATTTACACTACACAAAAGCCGAACACTTGTCGGGAATGTTCGTCGCTGGCCTCGGGAATTTTCRTGGAAATTTCAACGTCATTTGGCTGTTTTTAAACTTTACGCCATACGGTCTTGGCGTTATTATTGAGACTTATCGGCGTTGTGAAGCCGAGTRCCAGCGTCTTCGCTTTTTTTAGGTGAGGATCCCTTTAAAAAGTTCTTTGACAGAAATTCAAGGTATTTGATACTTGACTAGCATGTTGAGTGCATATATCGTTTTTATCACAATTATGAAAAATATATACCGATCAGTTTCAGGCTAATATTGTACTATGTAATATGAATATATAAAAATACTTAGATAAGCTATATTCCAAAGATATCAAATGCGACAAATTCGATATAACGCAWTTTAGTTGGGCTCCAGAACAGACGTTCGTGTGCGCTTTAGAGTGGCATGSAAGCTTAAACCGTATAGGCTTATCATTAGGGGCAAACATTCAATATGGCGGCACATGATCGATGGAACAAGAACGCATAGTGGAAAAAACCGTAGAGCGGTTTTAATCGCCTGTGAAATTTAGAGGAATAGATAAAGCCGCGTCTACAAGGGCATTTTCCCTAGACAAGGGAGATTTGCTCATGTATATGGGATAAAATGCTGAAAATGAAAAAGTTTTCCTTTTCAAGGAAAGCAACCGTGTTGGCTTTCTCTTGAAAAGGACAAATTATCTAGGACAAAATTTTTCTTGACGAATGACAAGGAAAATGTAGCGAGAAATATCAGGCATAATCTAAGATTGTCAAGGAAAGCTTTCTTCCCCGTCTACAGAAGCAAGGAAATCTTGTAAATATAAAATTGTCAAGGGAACTTGATGATCGTCTGTACGAGAAGTGAAAATCGTCAAGGATACTTGTCAAGGACATTTACTCAATGCGGATTAAAGTTTAATAATGCTTGATAAAATGGGTGTAATATCCAAAATCAAATTCCTATTAATAATTTCCTTTCCTTGTCCATGCTCATATAATCCATTGGCACCGACCTTTAATGTGTTATGTTGCTTGTTATTATCGCGTTAATTCCATGCTATAAACTTTTGTTTTTTCAAGTACAATACTTATAATACGAAAGCTGCAAATATTGTTTATCTTTCTTGTGAATTCATATCATGATTTATGTGTTTTAAGATAGATTGCTCTAGTGTGATAATACACTCCATAATAATCTCTTTTTTCTTCTATTTTCGATGTATAGAATATAGTCTTAAGCAAAAAAGTCCATGAAATTAAATTGCTTCCAAGTCAATGCGTGATGTTAAAATGCACTTGCAAGAATACAATAGATATTTAGACTAGATTCAATTTATATTTGCCTTGATCTATTACAAGTGATAGACAGATAGTCGACTGTAATAACTCTACCTGCTGGAGTTTTAATATATCTTGCCATCCTTCTAGTACTTTTTAATAAACTTCCGTGTTCCTTACGTGATCGACAAAGTAAATTCGTGATGTGCCAACTGATTGTTAAGATAAATAAAGCTTTAGCTTTTGGAATATTATTATTATTATACAAGACTCCAAGCTGAAGAAAAAAATTGTTTCATGAATCCTCGCTATACTACTTTAAATGCTGGAAAAGATTAGAATTATTTCATGGTATAGTCGAGGCTTTTTTTCACTTTCAGTTTAAAATATTTATTAAATTTCTTATTAATGAAAATTGTCATTTGATACCCTACATACTACTTCAACAGTTATCAAAATAATGCTTTTGTAGATTACACAATCCAGAAAATCTTAAACAGAAAAGCACAAAAAAGACTTAAAAACTCGAAACTTTATATCCGATAAAACACTCCTGCTCGCCTATAAACATAACATAATAAATAAAATCATGATATGCTGAATTATTGATAAGATAAGTATAAAAATTATACTATTAAAATATGTTAATAAACAAAGCCTGGGTGCATAACTCCCCCATATACTACTTCCATGTTATAAAATATTATTTTCGAGAGGCACTTGATCTCTGTGAATCTACAAAATCTGTAAAAATTTAAATTATATAAACCTTGGTCAGTAACCTAATACCAAGTGAT